CCCAAATATGGGCATACAAGCAGGTGTGGTCATGTTTGCAGATGTGGCTGTTGATTGGCTGTTGGCTAATTAATTTATTTACTACCATTTTCACGTACCAGCGCAGCTGGTCCACGCGGTCTCGGCCGTGGGCCATGATACTCTGATATTGGATACCGATTCGTGTGATTCCTATAAACATTTCACCTAACTACGAACTAGTTGGAAGAATTATAGCTGCATGGATGCCTGTATATGATTTTAACAAACACTGAAAATCTGACGCAAAAACTGGCAGATATTTTGCTCTTCTCTGTTGGAACAACGCAAGCGGGAGGTCAATGACCTGCGCCCCGCGAGTACTGTAAACAACGGTACGTAATGTGTATCGTCACGCGCGCGCCACGGTATCAACAATTTTCCACAATCTTCACCGACTAGTATTATATATTCTGTTATCGATTTCTGAAGAATCACCAAAATTGTAGAGTGTATCTCCTAGAAAGTCCCTTACTAGTACTTGAAGCGATCGTTACCGCCATGTTGTCCACTTTATATGACATACAATGCAGAGAGTAATGGAAACGTGTCCAGATAGCTCGGTTGGTAACGCGCAGGGCTGCAAGTCCAGACATTACGAGTTCGAACCCCGGTACACTGGATATTTTTAATTATCCTTTTTACAATTTTTAACAATTTTAACATTTTTAACAATTTCAACAATTTTAACCATTTTAACCATTTTACATTTTAACAATTTCAACATTTAATTTTAACATTTTCGTTTTAATATCCATTGCTTTGCTTTTAACATTCCAAAACTGATTGTTCTTACTCAAGAATTTCAATAACTTCGAATGTTAGTCTTTTGTATTTTTTCAACATACAAACCAAAATCACTTTGATGTTGTCACAAAAGTAACATCTGTGCGCGCATCGGTTTTCGTTCATTTAAAAACTACAAGTACAAAACATCTGGAAACTAAGCAAACATACTCAGTCAATTGATTGCTGTAATTCCCGATTTTTTTTCACTGTACCGCAACGCAAGCGGGGGGTCAATGTTCACGGTTTTCACTGTCACCTCTGTATTGTGAACTTATCATTACAGTTAGGAAATAATTCCCGGACTTTCTTTTTCCTGCAACTGTCACCACCGTGAATATATACTTCCGTGAACATGTCCATTTTTCTCAGGCCGTGAAAATTTTGCTTCCGTTAGTAGTAGTTACAATCTCGTCAAAAGTGTAAAGTAAAGCTGTCGAGATTTAAAGTGCGTGTCGTTGTATCTTTGTAAAAAAAAGGGAGATAATTGCCAAGTGCCAGTTTTGTAAATACCTGTCGAGATTCAAACAGCTTGTCCTTGTATAATTGCAGTATGATTTATTTAGAATCTCTCATTTTTGTTTGGGGAAGGGTATGGAGTGAAATTCCTACATTTGCTCCGAAGCAAATGTTGGCCTTTCTAGTTCCAACATGTAATCACTAGACGTGGTGACGACACACTCAAGTTTTTTCAACTTATATTAATGCCGCCACCAACACAGGGGACAAATACATGACAGGACAATGCTCATTTACACCTGAGCTAAGTGAGGAAAGCCGTGTAAAGTGCCTTTCCCAAGGGCACAAGATCGGTGGCATGTCAGGACTCGAACCCGGGACTCTTAGTTCCGAGTCGAGCACTCTGCCACTACGCCACACGACCCCACCAAGGATCAAGGATTGAGACTCTATGATGACAGCGGTGTCTGACTGGTCCTTCTGAAGGCATTGTGAATGACGCAACAGTTCAAGAAGACCAGATGGCCACAGCTAAGATTTACGCATTTTCAAGAATTGTCATTCCGTAACTATTTCATTGTATAGTTTTGAATCCATTGTAAATAATTTTAAAGCCACAGAAGAAAGCATCGCACGAAAACAAAACAATATGATCAGTCATAACAAAAAATGGGGGGATTTAGCAAATATATCGACTGGGTAGAATATTTTTATGTTATTTTAGTGTGTGTGTGTACTCTTATGCTATATCGTTTGCCTTTTTGTACGCTCTTTTGTTCTCTTGAATAAAGATTTTCAAAAAAATTATAAAAAAAAAAGATTTACGCAAATTACATAAATGATCAAATAGAGCCACGTTGGTCCACGCGAGACTAGGGCTGTAACGTGTCATTTTTCAGGAGATCACGATGGCCGACTGATTGCCACCTTCCTGTGGAAAGTTGTTACTAAGAGGTTTTCTTGACCATAACATAAGGCCACAGCAAGTAAATTTTATAGACGACATCCTCCGAAGACTCCAAGTCTAATGCGATAGGGCGAAACAAGGACAAGGTGATGCCCATTGCAAAAAAAGAAGACTCCTACATGGTCAGATTTTGACTTCACAAACCTTGGTAAACAAAAAAATGATATCTATATTGTGCTAAGTAACTGTCAACACCAATTTTAAATTTCAAAAAGAGTTAAGGGTCCAATAGCCCTTTTGATGCAGTTGAAGCATTGTTAATTCATTGTGTCTAGGGTTTGGCATTGTAAGCTTACATCTTATAAGATGGAGCCCATCCCTTTCATTCCATCACCCCCCCCCCCAAGCTAAAGTCAGGTGCCCCTGCTAGAGTCAGAAATGTAAAAAAAAAAACTGGGAATGACTGGGGTCGAGTCGTCTTTAAAAAGAGTCCACTTATTTTATTCTTTAATTCAACAGAAAGGAACTCTTCAAAGCCACGCGGTCATTTGAAAGGAAAAGTTGATTCCTGTATGATTTATTGGATTTTTGGCGAGGCCAAAAAGTCTTTGAAATGCCCTTTCATGTTTCAGTAATGTTAAACGTAAGAATATCAAAGGTACCTACGATCGATAAATTGTTGAATACAGCTATGATATATAACATATCTAATGGAATAATGTCAACGACCTTAAACTCTCCAGATATCAGAATGATAATCCCTTGATATCAAAATTAAACTTCTCACAAAAGGTCAATTTTCCATCATTTTGTACCTTGACTTTCGTGAGAAGGAAAAACATTTCTTGCACCGAGGGTACCTTCAGTCTTTAAGATTCTCAAGTCTATTAGGCTCAGGTGTGCAATACGTACAGACAGAGCCATGAATGGGCGTTCTAGTCGTAAATATTCACAGCACATAAAGCACTTCTCAAACCACAACGGAGACGTCATCTCGGAACCTTTAGAGTTCCCCTCGTCCCAAAATGACGGATAGAAATCGGCCACCGTGGGGTTCCTCCCGGTCTTAAATGCCAAATTTACGCCTAATTGTCATTTTTGGTCGATTAGGGAGCCGGAAATCAGGACGCCTACGCCTTCCCAATTGACCCGTAGTCGGATCGATGCGGCCCTTACACGTGCCCGGGCGGACCGCCCCATCATCCTGCCATCTCCGCTCGTTACCGCCCACGGCTGAGTCACGAGGAAGCCAAGGTTGAACTTCCCAGGCAGCTGGAGAAACCAAAGGCAATCAAACTAGTCCGCCGTCTCGTATGGAAAGAAATAGAAAGTTTTTGGTTTCATTTATCCCATAACAAACTCCTGGGTCAGGGAAATTTAAAACAAGAACATCGTTCCTGCCAGTTTAGTTGATCAGTTGTCAACAGTGATGAGGAATTGGGAGATATGTTTGCAGGTCTACATGAAATGGTATGCCTGTAGGGGGTACAAACGATTGGCTAAGATCGCTTGGCATTGCTTGACAGGAACAGATAGAAAGCGATCGGATGTGGAGATTCTGTCGCAAATGTTGACCTCACCACTATACTAAGACCACAGTCAATCAGTGATGGTTACGTTCGAGGCAATGGTTCGTAGAATTCTAAATTACAAAAATTCAGTTCTGGTAAGGCGAATTTCTTAATGAGCTGGTATATGCTCCAAAGATGTATTAATAGAATCATAATGCGTTCATCAACTATCATGAGTTGTATATAAATATGGGCCCTGTTGTAGCCAGAAACGTGATTCATCCAGAGCCATGTTCAAGCAGGGTTCTGGATAGTCTAGTCCAAAACCGTGATTGGAATACGCTGACATTATCAAAAAACGTGCCCTGATCCTAACCCTAACCCACTCAGTCATCGCTCTAGATAAAGTATAGATAGGTTGGATGGAAAATATGTTTGTAGCCTGTACAAGGCTTCGAAAGGGACTGGGAAGATTATAAATCGGCCAAATAGACAGAAAACATTCCAGGGGAGATGGCTCAATCACTGAAGAAGTAGAGTTTGCCGCTCCCGAAACCAGTTGGAACTGGCCTTGATCAAACAATGAAAAAGAAATCCCCCAATATTTATCTTTTATATCAGTCTAAGAAAAGAAGTATCTCAGCGCTAAAGACCATTTAACTGCTAAACCAACCAGTGCGCCATGAGAACCGTTTGTCGTTAAAACCTGCAGGAAGAAAAGCAATCATCGCATCTAAAAACCCAGAGGTCTTCAGACCAAACCGCTGAATGACACCGCAGCGGTTTCTTCGGTACCTCTCCTGGAAGCCTCTTTATGCCGGTAATTTTTCTCCGGCGTGCGGGAAGGTCCCTCTCGTCGTTAAAATGTCACCACGTCAAATGGAGAAGGGATGAAGGGAAACCGTCCAAGGACAGTCGGTACCCGAGGGAGGCAAGTCGTATAATGTCTTCATTCAGGCACGGGGCTGACGCTTTGTAAAGTCATTTCAACATGGCTCAAGTTACTCCTACTTTGATAAGATGATTAGGATCTTTAGAATAATATCAATAATCATCTTTGGACCTTGCGGGAGCTGAATACTTAGATTTTGGAATATGACATATGATTTTTGTCTAATTTACTATCTGCATGACTGTATACTCGTTGGCAGCATCCTTAAATGGCTACATTATGTAACATTAGGTCGATTCAACAAGCCGATTTTCTGGTCAATTATTTACAAAGTAAGTTGAATCAACATTACTCACTATTTAGGAAGTTGTGAGGGTGAAAAATACGACGCCTTAGTAGGGTGTGTGAAAGATGGAAACACAGCTGTTAGCCACGTTTCTTTGCATTCTGGTAGTTTGTGGTCATTCTGATAGTTTTTAGTTTGTGGTTGCACCCCAAATTCAAGTGTGCGTCGTGTGGACTGTTTTACCACTAACCATAAAATTCAGAAATGTTACGTCATAATTGCACAAATATTGATGAAAAGCCCAAGTAAATTACAATCACATGAAGAGTTTTTTTCAATTAGAATACGTCAATTTTTTTCAAAATGTTTGTTATCAAAATTCCCTACAATTAAGTACTGTGTACAACGTGGATGTATGTAAAAAACTGAGGACCAACCATAAACGTAGAACGGACATGGCCAGCCGGCGTAGTCAGTCAGGAGCCCCGACAGGGGCATGCTCACCACCGCTCCTGCGTAAGAGCCTAGAAAAACAACAACAAAAATATCAGTAATGAAGAATTTTTCAATATTGTAACCTAGATAAGAAAGAAGACAGGTGTCATTTTATTGTAGACTGAGAAAATATCAGAAACAGTAATGAAGAATTTGTCAATCTTGTACTAACCTATTATAGTAAATAAGATACAAGACGGGTGTCATTTTATCATTGACTGTACCTTAACAACGAGATATTTTCTTTAATTTCATACTAGTCATATTTAGTTTCCTATTTTTTAGATATCAAAGGAGAATTAAAATTTTCTCTTGTACTTTCAACTGTCTTATAAGAAGCGAGAAGTTGAACCTATACATAGGTAGTAGTTTACTATACAATGTCATGTATTAGACGTGTATTAGTGTTACTGTATTTTGAAATTATCGCCATAACCATAGTAATTACAACTTGGTGGTCTACCGAAGTAAGAAAATTCAATTAGATACCCCCATACATGCAACTACCAAAGGATTCCAATTAAGGAATCTTTGGAGTTTTATATCATCGGCATGTTTATATAAGTCGTTTCAGTGGTAGTTCTTTTCATGTGCAAATAAACAACAGGTGATCAAAAATATTCTAGTTGGCACTTCGCATGTTGCGAATCTGCTATTTGTCTAAAAACAACTGTGGATGCAACAGACAATCTAAAAGGAATGCGTCCCAAGTTGTATCTGCCATCGGTGTCATAACCATGTCTTCATTTATTTATTATCTTTTTCATTTCATATTATCCACATGGATTTATGAGCATTAGATAGCTGGCACAAATGTGTTTATATGATCCTCTGCTCAAAAACATAAAATATAAAAAATACACATTGAAATAACAATAGAAAATGTATAACGAACATAAAATAAAAGTGACTGTCGCACTAATAAGCATAAAATGAATGGCATTAATCAATAAATTTAATCTTCCAAACTGAGAGAGGAATTTGAAAACAGTATCTAAAGTACAGCAATCGCTAGAGTATGGAAGGAAGGGGCTACCGGTAAGGAGTAAAATGCATCATTCAATCTTCAACGACTGTATCATAAGATGTAAATTATTATCCACCTCTTTCTTACACAGATGCTGGATGACGCAAGTGGACCAATGAGAAATCTTGAGTATCAAAACGCATGACCCATGTTTCATGCATGTTTGGAAAAAAAAATATGGTACACACGTATATCCATTAATATTCGGTCTGTTATTTTTCATGGGCGGGCAAATTATTCCGGAAGCCTGGGGCCCGGGAGAACTTTTTAGCAAAACTGGTCGATATCCAATGCATACAGAACAGGAAGAATATTCGGTGCAGACTTATTATTCGTCATAATCCAAGAATGAAAATATAATAAAAGAAATGGTCGCCTAAGGGCAGAGGTAACATAATGGACAAAATGGCGCCGCCTTCCCGACATACATTGCGGCTGAAATTCATTGCGGCACAACACAGTTTTTGCCCTATGGGGATTTCTATAGGTAAGGACCCCAAAGTGACTCACTAAAAACTAGAGTCCCACGATCTCATACCTTCGCCAAATGATGTTAATCTTTATGACTGACAAAGATAATTCCTTCTGATTATGCAAATAAAATCCTCATTTGTATTATATTTATATTATAGTATTGTATTATAATATTGTATTATATAGTTGATCATATTCTCCATCAAAAGACAGCCTTATCTTAGCAAAGAAAGCCATTCTATCATTTCCTCATAAATTATGCAAATGAGGTTCTTATTTGAATAAGTTATGTTTAATGATGTTCACCTTCACTTAACTTTCAAATATCCCAAGTATGAAATTCCAGGCAGTCATCATTATGGAATTATAACATTTTCTCATTAATTATGCAAATTAGGTGTTAATTTACATAATCAATATCTGCCTGCGTTTCTCTCGTTCTCAATTACATATGTCACAAGCTTGAATAGTCCTATAATGTAATGCACCTGATTTATAGAATTTCCTCATTAATTATGCAAATTAGATCCAGATTTGCATAATTGTCGCATAATTATGTCAAGCGTCACTTGAGCTACATACATACCAAACATCACGACGATTTGTCCACCAGTTATTGAGTTATCCTCTTTTGAATATTTTCAAACAGATAGCCCTGCAGTTCCTGAGCAAGCCGCTAGGGGGCCCATGTCACTTCTTCCCCAGCATGAGAGCTACCTACCATCCAAATTTCGTCACCCCAGCATGTCTAGATCATGAGACATCAGAACCGGAAGTTTAGCTGCAGTACCATAACAAACCGCTAGGGGGTCCAAAATCTAATCATTTCCAGGTCTCATCTAGACCTACCCACCTACCAAATATCAAGATAATCCATTTAAGCTTTCTCGAGTTCTGCTGTTGACAGACACACACAGACACACACACACACACACAGACACACGGCCAGGAAAACATAACCTTCTTGGCGAAGGTAATCATAGTAGGGTGCACAAGCAAGGTTCAGAATTTTTATATGTTTAATTTCAGGGTATAGTGTACAAAATATGTGAAAATGGGCTTAAGTTTGCCGGGTCGTTCTCTTCTCACGCCCTCTTTTATTAGCGCCACTGCGGAGGTCATGGAACTGCAGCCGACGCACAGTACAAGGCGGTACAAGTATCCAAGCGCAAATCTACGCCGACTGAACACGCACCATAGTTCAACTTTTACAGTCTCAAAACTGACGTATTCCTCTAACATTCACCACAGGTTCCATCTCGATGTAATGCAAAGAACAATCTTTGTACCTTTCTCTAGTATTGTGCAGCACTACTTTGTGCCCGCGGAGTACTTTTGACTACGGGGTTGGCCCATAAATACTGTGTTGTGCGGCCTCGAGTCGAGTGAGGTCACACGCCATTAGTAGTCTGCCATTCCAGTTCCCCCTCAATAGTTGTCAAATTTAACACACCAGACAAAGATCACGCAGGGGTCATAATTTCTCTTACCCCTCGGCTATTATTCATGACCCTTTGAAAGCGTCGTGGTGTTAAGGAAAAAAAGGAGTGCTCTCTAGACAGAGTGATGGATAAGTGTACATGGAGAGGGTCGTGCACTTCACATCTCCAGTGTGTCTTGAGCTATCACAAACTCTGATTTAGAGATCGTACTAGGCAGGAAGGAGTTTCGTAGGCGTCCTATGGGGTTGTGTGGCGTAATGGTTAGGTGTTAGGGCCATTGTACAAAGGTCTTGGGTTCAAATCCACCAACATGGCCCGAAGTGCTGCTGCAGTACCAAGGTCAGCCACCGGGAGGCCAAAATTGAATTGTCCGTTGCCTTTCTAAGACCTAACTACACACCAAATATTATCGCAATTCATAACAGGCCTTCTTAGGTTAAGTTATGCTGGCCACAAAAAATGCGGAAACATACAAAGACACAGATAGACAGACATAAAGAACAAAGAATATTTTATGTAGGTATTAAAAGCCATTAAAACTCAAGGGATTAACAGCTTTCCAAGCAACAAACTGGTAACAATTAATGCTGCATATTCCTTATTAAATCATCATTAATCGGCAACCATAGACGTGCTTGATGAATACCTAGCATTAGCTTGGTAGAAAAGTGACATTTGTCAGCAAATTTGTTTGCTTCGATTGAGATGAAAATATCACCCTGAACAAGAAACCTAAAATAGGACATTGCAAAACGTAGAGGTCTGAAAAAAGTAAATAAATTTGCTGAAAACCAGCAGGCATAAAAACATGAGCTATCGCCAGTCTTTAAGCTTATCGATCACACGTGCACAACCCGTGATGTCAAACATTAATTTCTGTCTGAACCATGCCTGATGATATTTGCAATAAATCAATATGTCAATGGTTGTCTTTGTGAGTCATCTGTAAGATTACTAGTCAGTAATATTATATCTGTGTGACATAGACAGAGAACACCTAAAATTGCTGATAGCATATGTATATCTGCATAGGTTAGATGAGTATACATTAGCCATTACATTTAGTATCCATAGAATGATGTATCAATATACCAAACTTTTACCGTGACTGTGCCCTTTTTAAACATGACTTGCCCTTACATTGCAGCTTGTGAAAGCATGAACGTGCAATGAAGGTCATTCATTCATTCATTTGGTTCAATCATCAAATATTTAAAAAAATACCGTCATGAAAGGTCATCTGTAGTGGAAGTGACGTGTAAAGGTAAAACTTAAGTTCCAACACAAAAAGGCACATGTTCTCAGTAGACTGCATAAGAAAGACCAGAGTGACTGGTCGAAAACTCTAGGTGAGAACATTTACCTTCTTCAGTTGAAACTAAAGTTTTACCTTTACATGTACGTGCCAAGTTACACACTCAGATTAACTTTCATATCATGATAGTATTTTTTTAAATATTTGATAAATTTTTATATTCATCAAATATTAAAGATTGTTTAAACATTAAAAAAATGTTCCTCACCGCAGAAGGACATGGTGACCAGTCTACTCCTCTCCAGTGGAGGGGCCCACTTGCTCCAGATACCGTGCTGGGCAGGGTAGGTCACTCCCTGTAAAATACCACAATAATAAATTTAATTATACAACGATCGCATAAGATGCTATAAGCATGGCAACTTGTAAATGACAGTCACTAAAAACAAAAAAAATATAAATTTGTGACTTTGTCGTATTAAATGACACTATGTAGTAATTATCATTGTTATTGTTAGTAATGGTTTATTATTTACCGCCGTTCTTGTTTAATTCATGTAATTTATTTCATGGACTTTACTAAGTCTTGTTCATTGTTATGTTTCTTCGCTCGTGTTACTTCAATTTGTACAAATGTACAATTTTATTTTTTAAGGGAATCTCCTGCTTCCCATTGTACCTTTACATCTACCTTACTGTACAAAGGCGAAATGTATAATCTGTGCAGCCTTTGGAGGAATTTCTGACACTTTTAAAATCAGTTTGAAAGAGTCGTAGCTCCTCAACTTACTATATGTCATCAACAGAATTGATCAAACTCTTCCGAATAGAAATACAGCGAGTATTTTTTAATGTAATTGTCAGATACGGTAAAATATGATAAAAAAGAAGTAAGTTTAAGTTTAATGTTGGTCTTAACTACAGCTTTGTTCTTTGCCTTCAATAACATCTTTAACATCTAAAATATTCTCTAATCTTTCATGAAATAAACTCTTGGCTGCTACGATAATGCCTAAAACATACCCTTCACTTGGAAGATTTCTAGTTTGGGCTGATATCCACATACAATAGCATATGTATATAGCCTAAAGGTAAGACCGTTATGAACAAGAGGTATCCAATGTGACGGCCTTTCACGCCGTGATGGATCAGCAGCGAGTGATCGATGGGACTAATTTCGCTACTGACGTCACGCCAGCCTAATCACTCCATGTATCTCTCCGCCTCTGCCCGCCCTGAGCAATGTCGGCCTGTCAGATCAAGATGGCGGTGGGCGGGTGAAGGGCATTTCAAGGTTAAGGCGAAAAGTCTCGTCTGATGAGTGGAAACGACAAAAATCGATAGCCTCTCCATTACTCTCCTGCATGAATGTCTCTGAAGACGTTCAACTTTCTTTTAAGAATTCTAAGATGTCAAAAAGATCGCCGCGGAAAAGACCTGGATTGAAGTAGTTTCTTAATCTCCAAGCAGATCTTTCGGTGGGGGGAAGACAGTATCAAATTGGCCAGTCTTTATTCGGGAAGGAAATGCATTCAAGACTGGCCAATTTGTTACTGTCTTACCGTACCCCCACCAAAAGATCTGCTTAGAGATTAGTAGTTTCTGCTTTGTGCCTCTCAGGAAAGTAAAGCTGAATTTCAAGGTAAATTTTCTGGCCATTTCATCTAAATGTAGTAATTTGAATCAACCTTATCCCATAGCATACTGATATCTGTGAGGTAAAAATGCGATGTACTATATAAACGGTTGGTTGTTTCGTATATTATGCTGGTTCTATCCTCTTATTGGTGGTGCCGATTTGAAATTAAACCTCCTTGCAAAAACAATTTTAGCTTGCTTTTGGCCTAAAGAATTCAAAGTAGATGTACATATTAGACGGATATACACATCCGGAATATTTCATTTGTTTGTCGCCCTGAAATTGTATTGGATGCCTGAAATCACTGTACTTAATGTACACAATTAGTAATCCTGAAATCTAAACTTCTATCTCAATAATGATGACGAAGCACACCGCGCACACATTTAGTTGAGTGATAGATGGTTTCTAGTTCTTCAGCCTGCTTGTAAGCTAAAGGATGATATTTCATATCCATATTTCTGATAGATGGTTCAAGAAAGTAATTTTTGTGAATGCAGACAGAATGTGATGTATTCAATACTGATCACGTAGGAAAAACATTTTAAAAGTTTTCCTACAATATCAATTGTGATTTGAGCCCCCACTAAAAAAAGAACTTAGTTGTGACCATAAGGCAACTTACTAGTAAGAGACATTTACTAGTTAAATGTGTAGGTTTATTGTCACTTTAATACGACTCAATACATTTTAAGATTGTAGAAAACTGGTTTCTGTTCCAAGGAATGTAACATTTTTTTTTCCATTTTCCTGGAAATGGAAAAGACTACACATCCACACTTCAGATGGAAAGTCTACACTTCAAAATAAAAAGGTCTACACATGTACACTTCAGATGGAAAGTCTACACTTCAAAATGGACATGTTTACACATCTACACTTCAGATGGAAAGTCTACACTTTAAAATTGACAAGTCTACACATCTACACTTCAAAATCGAAAGTCTACACTTCAAAATCGAAAAGTCTACACTTCAAAATCGAAAAGTCTACACTTCAGATCCATATCAGAGGATTCGATAATGACGCTATGTCTGTATTGTCCCTGTTATTTCACGCTGACATCGACAATTATTCAATGACGAATCTGTAGTGAGCAGCTTGCAGTGACATGATTGCTAGACTTCCGAGTTTCAGCGGCATAAAATTGGCACATTAGTTCCCGACAACGACTACAAAATTGCCCTTCATAAGCATTACTAAAGAATTCGTCTTCCCCGGGACGTCTGTCAACGTTTGAAGTCCATGGAAAACAAATAGATCGAATTATTTTCTGCGTGGCGCGGAGGAATACACTCCTTGTGGAGATAATAAGCGTGCGTCAGAGGCGCGTATTGATACAAAGTGACAGACATATGGTGCTGAGGTAGTGCCTAAGTGTACGCGATCTGACATTGACGAATGGCTTCCCCGTTGTTCATGAATATCTCAATATCCTTGTTACATAAAGGTCCCTAGCTGCAGGGCACGCGTATGTCTTAATAATAGCAGGGGGAACAGACTGTCAAAAACGCTAGCAAGTTTTCATAAAGAGCTTCATATACTTCCTGGTATACTGGCAGCTAAATTGATGAAATATCCGACGAATATCTCATTTTCTGACTTGTCAGGACGGACAAAGAGCTTCTGTTCTTATATCTATATTTTAACACCGCCGCATTTTTCAGTAAGAGGTACGAATTAGAGGGTAGCTTTTCAGGAGAAAAGTAGCATTAAAATGAAATACGTTTAAAATGAACACAATAGGGGAAGGGTTAATGAAGTTAACTGAACGCAATATTCGTATAATGCTTCGTGTTACAATCAACTTAAACATCGAATTTGGGTCAATTTAGACGATCTTTAGCTAATTTTAACAAATACCCGTCTATAGTTTTGTCAACATTACATTTCAGCACCAAGGACATCACAAACCTCATTTGCATATTTGGGACAAAGAGAACATTTTGATTGTCCTAAGTATGCAAATGAGATTTATGCATCCAAGACGATGTTGTATATAGTAACTCTGCTGACGGATATAAATATTGTGCCACCGCAGGTAACCTTTTCCCCATCCTCATACATACCTACAAACGCGCTCAGTAGTCTTCCAACAGATGGCCGCGCCCACGTACCCTCCCCACTAATTTCTATCTACAATTGTGCGGAAACACAAACACACACACACACACACACACACACACACACACACACACACACACACACACAGACAGACAGACACGCCAAAAACAATACCTCCATTTTTCAAGGAGGTAAATACCAGTCTATAGTTTTGTCTACATTGCATTTCAGCACCAAGGGCATCACAAATTTTATTTGCATATTTGGGACAGGTGGACCGTTTTGCTTGTCCCAAGTATGCAAATTAGATTTAGGCATCCAAGACGATGTTGTATAGTAATTCTGCTGAAAAATATAAATTGTGCCACCGCAGGTAACCCTTTCCCCATCCTCATACATACAAACGCGCTATTCTTCCAACAGATGGCCGCGCCCACGTACGTTTACGCTCCCCACAAATTTCTCTCCACCGGTTATTAACACGGGGCAGCTTCCGAGCCCTCGAGCAACATCAGGCATTAGGCGCGGGGATGACGAGCTTCAATTTGCCCAAGTCCTCTTCTGCAACCATAACGGGTTATTACCGTGGAGCCCATACATCCTCCGCCTACGCTCTATCCGAGCTATTTGTTTCTCAGCTCTCTGTTGTACCTTATCATCTCTAAACTCATTTGTCACCAGTGAAGGTAGGAAAAGGCCATCGGGCAGAACTGACAGGACGTAGGCATCGCTAACAGTCAACATTTTGGTGAGGAGGCAGCTGTGCCCGGTAAAAAACGAAGCTGACTAGCTTAGTATTATTAAGAATAGAAATTAGGCATTTATTTACACTCTTATATGTTCATATGTTTGTAATGTATATGTTTATGTTCATGTTCTGTACTCATGCGACCTGTACTTAGTTCTGTAGAACACAAATGTACAATAAAGGTCTTCATTCAATATTCATCAAAATGTAATTCCAATAGAACAATAGATAAACCTAATTTTGGAGTAGAATGTAGTCTAAACAACAACGAGAGAGTTGAACTTTAAAGACTGGCTACTAACATAAATTTTCCACGATTTATACAGCTGTAAATAATACAGAAAAATTAGCATTTCAAATGTAAAAAAATAAGTGCATATAAAAACGCATTATGCTTCAAAATTATCTTCATCCAAAAGTTTCATCCCAATTGAATATTTTGCATCAAGCATCATTGCTTGTTTATTTGTTTGTTTGTTTGTTGTTTGGCGTATTACCACTTACCAAAAAAAGCGCATGCATACGATGTATTATACTAGTATATACTTCACAATCATTACGGTTTTAATCCAAAAGGATGTTCAGCTATATCTAATGGATCATTCTTTGCTTCCTTTTTTGTTTAGTTTTTTTTTTTATTTTATGATGTTTGTGGTATGACGATATTCAGCTGAACATTTGGCATCAATCTTTGCATGTTTGTTTGTTTGTTTGTTTGTTTGTTTGTTTGTTTGTTTGTTTGTTTGTTTGTTTGTTTGTTTGTTTGTTTGTTTTGTTTTGTTTTGTTTTGTTTTGTTTGTTTGTTTGTTGTACGATATGATGTTTGTTGTATCATAATATTCGGCTGAACATTTGTGGATCTGAATAAACTGAACATTTTACACCAAGCTTTGTTTTTTAGTTGTTTATTTGGTTGTTTGTTGTAAGATCTTTATATGATGTCTGTTGTATGGCGATTTTCAGCCGAACATTTTGCATCAAGCTCTGTTGTTTGTTTGTTGTATGACGATTTTCAGCTAAACATTTTGCATCAAGCTCTGTTGTTTGTTTGTTTCTTGTATAACGATTTTCAGCTGAACATTTTACATTAAGCTCTGTTGTTTGTTTGTTTGTTTGTTTGTTTGTTTGTTTGTTTGTTTACGTACCTCCACCAGTCCCTGTAGTATCCTGACAGCGATGACGCAGCCGTAGTGCACCTTGGCGGCGGCGGGGATCAGCATGTTGAGCGAGGCGGTGGACAGGATGGCGAGACCGAATATCCTGCAGGAAAAAATACACAACAAAAAATACATCAACAATTCATGTCATAAACTCATCTAGCTAGCTAGGATCCTTCAGAATTTTTGAATCCATGAACCAGTTGCCGTGATAGCAATTAAGCTTTGAGCGAGGCGGTGGACCGAATATCCTACAGGAAACAAAAATACACACATGAACACTTCATGTCAAAATCTCACCACGTCAAGCTAGCTTGAATCCTTCAGAAATTTTTAATCCATGTGCCAAGTTAGCAGTTAAGCCTTGAGCGAGACACTGGACAGGATGGCGATACCGAATATCATACAGGAAACAAAAATACATCAAGACTTCATGTCATAAACTCTAGCTAGCTAGCTGGAATCCTTCAGAATTTTTATAAGCCCTGTACTAGATGCCGTTCTAGCAGTTAAGCTTTGAGGAAGACACTGGACAGAATGGCGAGGCCGAATATCCTGAAGGAAACAAACATAACAAAAATACATCAACACTTTATGTTCAAAAATCACTACGTCAAGCTAGCTGGGATTCTTCAGAATTTTTTAATTCATGTACCAGTTGCCGTGCTAGCAGTTAATGTTTGAGCAAGTCAGTGGACAGAATGGCGAGACCGAATATCCTACAGGAAACAAAAATACATCAACGCTTCATGTCAAAAACTCTAGCTAACTTGCTGGGATCCTTCAGAATTTTTCTAAGCCATGTACCAGTTACGGTGCTAGCAGTTAAGCTTTGAGCAAGGCAGTGTACACAATGAAAAGACAGAATATCCTGAAGAAAACAAAACAAGACAAAACAAAAATACATCAACATTTCATGTCAAACACCCATTTACTCACTACGTCAAGCTAGCTAGGATTTTCATCGTGTATGCATTGCCGAAGTAGCAGTTACGTTTTGTTGTTTTTTGTATTTTAAAATATAAAACAGAAACAGGACCAGTGCCAAGAGCAAAATCTCAATTCACAAGCCAGAATAAATGCATATGTTGTGATCGTGTTGTAGGAATAGGAACAATTTTGTTGTTTATCTTGTAGCTTTTGCTTGTTCCTCTGCTTGTTTGGCAATGCATGTACAGATATTAGACATAGCGATAAGCTATGATGATAAATACAATTTCTCTACATACCAAAATTCACTACAGAAGCATTGTATGCCCCTGAAATGATCTGCTGCGGTGCAAAATGATACAAAGAAACCAATCGAAATAACGAAAACAGAAATAGTAACCATGATGATTAAGACTCCAAAACGTAAACAAAGTGATGACCTTTTTACTTTTGCCGACAGACTGATAAATATTCTTTTGTTGTTTTGTTTTTTATACATTGAGTATGATGTGTCTTATTCCGTGTCCCAAGGGATCAGCAAACATGACTTCATTTTGTACGTGAAAAATCGGTAGAAATTCATAAAGAGTTACCACATTTGTAAAGGATTGACATAATAGGTGACTATCACTTCTTCCAGATGTCAAACCTTAGACCAGACTGTAAGGTTTTTAATCACTCACACAGCTCTTTTCGATAAGTGTGGTGGGATCTTTAACGTGCTCAAGGTGTGGCTCTCCTCAAATACGGGACCTTCGGCTTTACATACTATCCAAAGGGGGTGTCTTTATTACGGAAGCTAGGTACCTAATTACACCCGAGTCAAGTGAGGAAATAGAGATTAAGTGCATTTTCCAAGGACACAACTGTGGGGCGTGCCAGGGATTCGAACCCATAACCTACGGATTCTGAGTCAACAACCCCAACTACAAGACCACGTTGCCTCCACTATCCGTAGACATGAAACCGCCGCTTTGTTTTATCAAACGTATCAAAATATGATAGACTAAGTACAACGTATCAAAATATGCTAGTCCAATATACAGTGTAGTAGTGTGTGACTGTGACCAGAATACCGTTACTGATTTTACTGCCCTTACGTTTTATTATCATAGATTTTAACTAATTGTATATGATGATAATGGTTTTAGACAATAATACTGAGCAAGTGTTTTTTTATTTTTCTATGTATATGTACGAACACACAATTCAGCCCTGTGGGCTGCCAGTTGTTCAGTTGAAATAAACTAATTATATATATATATATATATATATTAGAAAATACAACGCCGACCATGATTGCATGTTGGACTAGGTCGGCGTAAAGTCGGCTGGGTCGGCTGGCGTTTGGCGAATTCGTCTACAGTTTGGCTGCGCCAGCCAAATGTTTCAAAGTGTTTAAAACATTCGTGGGGCGTTCGAGAGGTTCATTCATAGTTGGCTGGTTTTCGATCTTATGTCAGTAAAACACCTGCCAGCTATCCGGGAGAAAGTCAGCAGTGTTAAGGTCGAGTTTAGGATCAAAAATGACTCCAATTTAACTCAAATTCGTTTTGATTCTTATACAATGGAACGAGTGGCCTCAATCTGGTCACGAACGTCAGCCGAACCTGCAGCTGGTCGGCTGGCGTTCGGGAACAGATCGGGGGAAGGTCATGAATGTGTTATGCTGGGGTCACAATTCCCTTACGGGGCCTGGCCGGGCAGCTTTTGGGAACGAAAACTATGATACAGAAGACAACAAAACATCGAAAAGTTCTTAATAACAATCACGGGCTCTATTTCTCTATATTCTTGATAAGAATAGTTAATTTTTCGTTCGTACAAACAGCCCGGCCGGGCCCCGGATTGGAAATGTGACCTAAGCATAACAGGGGCTTGAAAGGGGAAACCTACACCTGCACCGTCCTTCCACAGACATATCGAAGTTCTGACTTCCCCCGTGCGGCGCTCTCATTTTCGCCTTCAACTTCAACTTATCGGCTCGTCTCTCCGGAGCTCGATTTGCCCGCAATGTCTTCCCGGATTTCCCGTGATGAGCTCTTAAAATGCGCATCGACCCGGGTCAGCGGGCGCTTCGATTTTTCTCTCGGAGATCAGGGCGAGATGAGAGAGCAGGAAAAATCGAACGGGCCGGAGGCGGCGTCGGGAATGTGAGAGTTATGCTGAGGTCACATTTCCCAACCCGGGGCCCGGCCGGGCTGTTTCGTTTAACGAAAAATCAATGATTTATATCAAGAATATATGCAAATAGATCCATTATTAATTTTTTTTCAATTTTTGTTGTTGTGTTTGCTTGTCTTTCATACCATATTTTTCGTTCCATAAGACTGCCCGGCCGGGCCGCAGTTTAGAAATGTGACCTCAGCATTAGAAAAGGGAGGCTAACGTTCCACCATACAGCAGAATATCCGAAAATAAAACAACAAGTTACTCAAGCAATATATTGTAGGGAAGGAATATTTTAAAGTGATTATGCTGAGGCAAGCAAAGACGTCCTTGGCTGAGGTCACATTTCCAAACCGGGGCCCGGCCTGGTTGACTTATGGAACGAAAAAGATAATACAAAGACAACAAACCAAAAAAATAGCTAAGATAATAAAGGGAACTATTTACGGATATTATTGATATTGATATAAGTTGTTGCTTTTTCGTTAATGGCAACAGCCCGGTCGGGCCCCGGTTTGGAAATGTGACCTTAGCATTAAGACCGAAAAGTACTAGAATGAGAGTTTCGAATTTCTCTTACAAATAATACTAGAATGAGAGTTTCCTATTACTACCAAAAATAAGACAAACATAATTTATTGTATAACTTTGGGAGCTACAACTAAATCATTCATATAGATATCGATAGATGTATTAAAAATAGAACGAATTCAAAATAAGAAGTCTTTTTATGCAGCAAAAAGTACAGTGTTTAAATACAGCACTAGCCCTACAATTTGTAGGGCTAGGCTACAAAATATAGAGTATTTAAATACAGTAGCCCTACAAAGACGCTAATTGTACCTACATGACAAGAAACATCTAACATAATATCATATTATTACATGTAAAGAAGTTAGAACTTCGTAGTTGAGAATTCCCGTTCAAGGCCCCCCTTCAATAACTCTTCAGACTGTGAAACGCCGAACCTACCACAATCGACGCCGCTGATTGGCTGATACGATGATTGGGTTCCAGGGGCAACATGACGTCATCCGCATCTCATTACTGACCTCTTTGACCTTCATGAAATAATCATAGTTCTATTTCTGTTCTACAGCACCGGTTATTCTGTTAATGGCATTGTTTCTTTCCTTCTGACGGTCAGTTCTTGATGGCTATTAGACTACCGCTGGACATCGGCCGAAATAAAAGTCGTAAAGTACATTTAGCTGCCGGACATCAGTATTGACTTCAACCTTGTGACGTAAACTCCGTGTTTTTAAAGAGATAGTTATCAACTTTTTTTTTCCTTTGCAACTGAATCTTTATCGCCGGAAGTGGTAACTGAAGTGAGATAGGTCTGGAATGAGTTTTTCTTCTTTCTTCTCGGGCCATGTTGATTTGATTATATGGATGACATCCTCTGGGAACCCCAAAACTGATGCGGGCGTGCAAATAAAAAAAAAGTTTTGCAAAAAAAAAATGTTGTTTTCATTATGAAATCTACGTGGTCTTGAAGGTTGAACAAATGGCACAGAGTATGGTATGGCGAATAATCTACTCTTCAAATTCATTTCTCTACATTTTTGTTTGATTTTGGCATTCTACGACATAGGTATCGTTTCTCATATTTTTTTTGCAACTTACGGTATATATTTTATTATTTAATTTGCAATGGTTCTGTACGATTTACAGTATAGTTGAAAACTTTTCTTTAGAAACGGTCGCAAATTCATGTCATCGCGGATGTCATCCATATAATCAAATTAACAGTGGCCTTACAACTGAATCTTTATCACCGGAAGTGATAACAGAAATGGGGTACGTCTGGAATGAGGTTTTTTTTTTTCTTGTCAGACATCCGTGCAACAAATCGTGAGATTACCGGCTTAGGGCTGTTCTCGAGTCGACGTCAGTACCAGCGATCACACAGGGCGTCAGGAGGTTTGATGAGAGCGCTTCGATCGCTGAGGCTGATATTTTGGTGTGACTTTGAACGTCTGATTCACACTTACAGGGGAG